CATTCTAAACTTAAAGCAACAAACTATATTAAAAAGAAAAAAGTTAATTAACAATTTTTTTTTTCTAAATTTTAACAATTTTTCATATTTTCAGGCACCAGTAGTGGAAAATTTAGCCAAAAGATGTGGTGGTTTTTTGAAAAAGTTAAGTTTACGTGGATGTGAAAATGTACAGGAAAATGCTTTACGTTCATTTACGTTAAAATGTCCAAATATTGAACATCTTTCATTATACAAATGTAAACGTGTCACTGATTCGTAAGTTTTAATCTAACGTTTTAATTTTTAAATATAAATTTTAATCTAAATCAATCATTAAAAATAATTTGATTTATGCATTATATCAAATTATAAATTATATTAATTCATAAATTCCTATTTTAGAATTTAAAAAGAAGAAAAATTGCAAATTTTAATCCAACATTAGATAATTTTGAAAAAGAAAAAAAAAATAAGATATTATCAACAAAGCAACACTATTTATCAATTTTTGAAAGAGAAATTTCATTATTATAGTAAAATTTCAATTTAATTTTCTCTTTATGTCAGATAGCATTGATAAGTTGAATTGATAAGCTGAAAATGAATTATTAAATATTTATTTGATAAGAAAACTGTAACATTGCAATATTTCTTTTTAATTCAAAGAATGTGAAAATATAAAAGAGGAATTTCACATAAATTTATTAAATATATTAAAAAACAATTCGAAAATTTAATGATTTTTTTTTTAAACTTTAATTTTACATGTGATTAAATTATGATCCAAAAAAATTAAAAGAAAAATTCAAGAAAACTAAGAAAAAAATTTTTTTTTTTTTGAAACTATTAATTACAGTACATGCGAATATTTGGGAAGGAATTGTCATCGATTGGTATGGTTGGATCTCGAGAATTGCACCGCAATAACCGATAAATCTCTCAGGGCAGTAAGGTATGATTTTACTTTATTAAATTTTCATTCAAAACAAAAATTATCAATAAAATGGTAATCAGTTGAACAAAAATTCTTCATTTCCAATAATTTTTTTTTTTAATATTTTTATAAAATAACGAAATTTTAACAATTCTTTTTTCTTTTTTGTAAAATAATAAGATTTTAATTTGAATTGAAATAAACTAATTTAACAATTATTTAGTGAAAAATGATTTAATAAAGTAAATTTAAAATAAAAATGATTTAAATGATAAGAAAAAAAGAAACATTTCATTTATTAATTAATAATTACAGTGAAGGATGTAAGAATTTGGAATATTTAAATATTAGTTGGTGTGAAAATGTGCAAAATCGAGGAGTACAAGCAGTACTACAGGGTTGTCCAAAATTAAGTACTCTAATTTGTCGTGGATGTGAAGGAGTAAGTAAATTTAATTTTATATTTTTTTTTTTAAATTGAAATTCTTAAAAAAATTCTAAATTATTGTCGTTGGAATGCAAAAAAATGAATATATGAAAAACTCTTTTTCAATTAATTAAATTTGATTATGCAAAAAAAAAGAAAAAAGTCAAACATTAAAGGTTAAATTTTCACTATTTGATATTGAATTTTTATAAAGGAAAATTTTATATAAATATATAAAATTTGAAATAATTTGTAAAAGAAATAAAAAAGTAAATATAAGTTAGTTTAAAGTAAATTTGATTAATTGATTTATACTATAAGAATGGATGTACTTTTACTTTTAAAAACTAAAATTTATTTTTCACATGTAAAGATGAGAGTGATGAAAGGAAAGGAATGATCTAATTAAAATTCACACTTTTATGAATGTGAAAAGGAATAATTAATTATTAATGAATTTTTTAGCAATGAAATTATGAAAGAATTTAATAATAATCCAAGAAGTGATGATGCGAAAATTTTATTAAAATATTCAATTAAAACATTAAAATTAATGAATTTTTTTTTTACATGCTCAAATTTATAAAAGTTATAAATAAATATATTATATATATATAAAAGAAGAAAAATGATTAATTAACTATAAAATTTAAGTATAATACAATGCAGGTTTTCTTTTTAATTTTTAAATATAAAAATTAAATTTTCAGTTAACGGAAATTGTTTTTGCGGAAATGCGTAATTTTTGTTGTGAGCTACGAACAGTCAATTTACTTGGTTGTTTTATCACTGATGATACGGTTGCTGATATTGCATCTAGTTGCTCACAATTGGAATATTTATGTTTATCTTCTTGTACCCAAGTTACTGACAGAGCTCTTATCTCACTTGCAAATGGATGTCATAGGTTAAAGTAAGTTATACTATCACAAAAAGTAGTAAATAGCTTTAAGTTATACTATCACAAAAAGGAGTAAATAGCTTTAAGTTATACTATCACAAAAAGGAGTAAATAGCTTTAAGTTATACTATCACAAAAAGGAGTAAATAGCTTTAAGTTATACTATCACAAAAAGTAGTAAATAGCTTTAAGTTATACTATCACAAAAAGAAGTAAATAGCTTTAAGTTATACTATCACAAAAAGTAGTAAATAGCTTTAAGTTATACTATCACAAAAAGTAGTAAATAGCTTTAAGTTATACTATCACAAAAAGTAGTAAATAGCTTTAAGTTATACTATCACAAAAAGTAGTAAATAGCTTTAAGTTATACTATCACAAAAAGTAGTAAATAGCTTTAAGTTATACTATCACAAAAAGTAGTAAATAGCTTTAAGTTATACTATCACAAAAAGAAGTAAATAGCTTTCTTTTTCTTTTTTCATTATTTATTAAACAGTTATAATTTTGTTTAAATGACATTTATAAAACATTAAATTATTTAATTAATTTTGAATATGTAAACTTTTACTTTTTCATAAATTTTTTAATTTTAAATTTACGGAATAAGGAAGATTTAATCTTTATTATTACAAATTTACACTTACTTTCATTGAATTCTTAATGATGCATATATCATTTTTTTTTAAATTATAAAAATTTACTTTCTGTAAACAAATTTCTCATCTTTTTCATTTTTTTTTTTTTTTTGAAGTTTTTGATAATAAATTTACGAATTGTTTTAGAGATCTCGAACTATCCGGATGTTCCTTGTTGACCGATCATGGCTTTGGTATTTTAGCAAAGAATTGTCATGAACTTGAAAGGATGGATTTAGAAGATTGCTCGTTGTTAACTGATATCACATTAGATAATTTCAGTAAAGGATGCCCATGTCTTCTTAATTTGGTAAGAATTTTTTTTTTTTTTATTTAAATACTTATAGGAACTTTAATATAGAAATAGTATTTGTCTTTTTTATTTTATTGAAAATTATTAATTCATCATTTTGGTGGAATAATTATATTTGAAATAATTTAATTCTCTGATAGTATCAAATAAAATGATAATTTAAAAAGACAGAAATAGAAATAATTATTTCATATATATAAAATGGTAAATTGTTTTAGTTGTTTATTATTAGTGATAATTTAAAAAATAATAATGATATTTATTAATTTAAAAATAATAATAATATGCTATTGCTTTTTTTTGCAATTTCAACTTTTTTTATAACTGTAATAATCTTTTTTTTTTTTTTTTTTTTTTAAATAATTTTATAACAACAATATTTTATAGAGTCTTTCACACTGTGAACTTATCACTGATGCGGGTTTACGACAGCTTTGTTTAAATTATCACTTAAAAGATCGAATCCAAGTGTTAGAATTGGATAATTGTCCTCAGATCACAGATATTAGTCTAGATTACATGAAACAAGTGCGCACTTTGCAACGAGTTGATCTATACGATTGTCAAAATATTACCAAAGATGCTATTAAACGTTTTAAGGTATTATTTTTCAACTTTCAAAGAAAAAAAAAATTCTTTAAATTGATTAATTTTTAATACTTTAAAGTTTTAACAATAAGCAGATTAATTGTTTTTATTAAAATATTCGAAATATTATTTTACTTTGTTGATAATTCATTTCTTTTCTTTTTCCTCAACTTTCTTTATCAATTTAAATTTACTATGAAAACATATAATTTCAACAACATAATCAGAATATATTATTCATCGTTTGATAACTAATCTTTGATCATTTATTTGACGCTTATCAATTTTTATTACTTATTTATTTAATTACATTCCACTTCTTTTCCTCCTCCTCCTCCTCCCCCTCCTTTTTTGCAGAATTTGAAACCAGACGTGGAAGTACACGCATACTTTGCACCTGCCACACCACCCACTTCAACACAACCCACCCGACGAGCTATTTGTCGCTGTTGTACAATCTTATGACTATCTGTCATTGCTGTTGTCACATTAGGACTATTTCAATATTACGACAACTATGAATTAAATGTTTTTGTTGATCAAAATTCCTGTAATGATATGAATGATTATCGATCGATTGATTGTTCTATCATCTGCCGAAATTTGCTTTATTTCAAACCTTATCACTGATATGCTATTGTTAATGATAGAAATTATTATATTTTGATGTATTATTACTTTTACTATACAATCTTTCAGATTTGCTTTATTTTATTTTCTTTTTTCTTTTTTTTTTTAAAAAAAGCATTTCCTTCCATTTTTTTCTTTTTCATTTTTATGATTTTATCAATTTTAGTGGAATAATTTAGTACAAAATTTCTTTCTCCTTCCATCTATTATTTGTTAATGTTTGATTAATTTTTGCAATTCGTTTATTTTATTTGTAACTTCGATGCTTTCTTTTACTTCTCCTTTTCTCTCTCTCTCTCTCTCTCTCTCTCCTTTTCTCTCTTAAAAAGACCTTAAAAGATCTTTAAATATTGCAATAGTTGGTTAATTCAATTAATATATTTGAGTGTTTTTTTATAGCTTCAAAATTATCATAATACATTTTCTTCCTAACAGCCATTTTAACACTTCATTGTTATTATTATCATTGCTTATCATCGCTATTATTATTATTATTATCATATTAGTTATTGCATTTATCAATTATTATGGCAACAATATTATCATTATTTTCACTAATTAATAAACAATAGTTTAATAATAAAGTAATGATAAACAGTGATAATAATAGTAGTAATAATGGTGATAATAATGATAGTAATGGTAATCATAATAATAGCGATGGTAATCATAATAATAGTAATGGTGATAATGATGGTAATGGTAGTGATAATAATAGCAATGGTAATAATGATAGTAATGGTAATAATAATAATAATAGTAATGGTAATAATGATAGTAATGGTAGTGATAATAATAGCGATGGTAATAATAATAGCGATGGTAATAATGATAGTAATGATAATTGTAGTGATAGTAATGGTAATGATAACAGTAGTAAAGGTAATGATGATAATGATGGTAGTGATAATAATAGTAATGGTAATAATGACAATAATGATAATGATAGTGCTAATGTACATTATCATGGCATTCGTCTATTTTACTAGCTAATATCTTGCATTATTCTTTTAAGAGAATTTGACTGAAAAAGATTTTTTTTAGTAAACAAATTTATAATTTAATGAAAATTATATATTCTATTGGTTTTGTTTACTGAAATTTTTTTCCTCGAATTTGGAATGTTTGTATTTGTTTTTCTTTTTTTTTCATTCTAAAGTTAAAATTTAAATGTTTTTATGTGATATTATCAATTCGTCAAAACTCTTTTTTTTCTATTATTATAGCACCGAATATTCTTTCATTTTCTAATTTATTTTACTTTTTTTTTTATTTTTTTTAAAAATATTTAATATATTGTATTCAAAATGAAATTTTTTCTTTTTTATCTTTTTCTAGTATAAGAATAATAACTTTCAATTGTTTATTTCATTTTTTTTTGTTCTTTACATTTTTCAACATAGCTGTGAACATTTATTCAAATTTTAGATGTTAGATTTTTTGAAATTTATTTATGCACACTTTAACATCGATCAATAATAGCTCTTTCCTTTTACATTTCATTTTTTCATTCTTTCCATCTTCAAATTTCCATTTTCTACTTTTAAAAGACATTCAAATTATACTAAAAAAAATAAATAAAACCCATATAATTTAATCAGAAGCAAATGCTAAAGTAAATTTTTCATTTTGTGCAAATTTCTTTTAATTGTTTATTTTATCAATTCATTATACAAATGTTTTCATTACAACAAACAAATAGAAATGAAATTTTTTTTTTTTTTGAAAAAAGCAACGAAATAATTGTTTGCTTTATTAAATTCATGTATATATTGTTTTGCTTTGATTGATTTATTTTTCATTTTTTTGTAGTATGAATTGTTTTCAAGTTGTTTGTTTATAATTCTATACAAAAAAAAAAAAAAAAAAGAAAAGTATTTTTAACAAATTAGATTATTTTTAATTTTTATCTTTTCTTTCTTTTATTTTACAAAAAAAAAAAAAAAAAAAAAAAAGGATGCTTCCTTTTTTTCTGAATGTTGTCAATTTTAATAACAAATAAAAAGATAATTAAATAATTTAATTTAATCTATTAAGGGTATTTATATATATATATATATATTAAATTAGCCTTGATATATGTATAATATCGTAATGACAGTGCTTTGCTTTCAAATTTTATATATAAATAATTTAAATGTAACATAAAAATAAAAGTAAATATGAAAAGTAAAAAAAAAAAATGAAATTAGATGAAATTTTTGTATTATAAATGAATTTTATCAATTTTTTTGTTTTTTTGTTTTATTTACAGTTTCTTTTTATTTTTTATTTTTTGTATTTCTATTCATTTTAGTATAAATTTTTGAAATGTTTTCTTTTTGAAATGTATTCTACTTAATAAAGCATACAAAATAAATATTACCTTTAAAATGCATTGTTTATTTATTTTTTTTTTTCAATTAAATTATTTAATCACATTAGCCATGTAATATCAATAAAGAAGAAAGAAAAAAACGAATTGATTTTTTTTTCATTTTACCATTTCAAATTTTTAATATTAATTCATTTCAGATTTTTTATTTCAATTATTTTATTATTCATTTCCTTCTCCCATAATTTGCTGAACTTTTCATACAATTTTTCTAATTTTTGAAAGAAAAAAAAAACAGTAAAATGATAAATATTTATTAATATACAAAATAAATAAAATAACAATAAATATTTATTAATTTTTATATTTCGCCAAAATTTTTCCTTTTCTGTAATTCATTGTTGTTTTTTTCCATTTTTAATTATTTTAATTTTCATTTGAAATGAAAAGAAAAATGCAATAATATCTAATTTCTAAATTAAATATGAAATAATTAACGATACAATATTACTGATAATTCATCTATTAAATAATTTCCTTGACACTTCAAGAATGATAACAATGATAAATTTATTCCACAACATTTATTACATAAAAAAACGATGAAATAACAATGATAATGACCTTTTTCATATGCAATGACCTTTTTTAAATTCATCCTAAAAAAAAAGTTCACTGTTCGATTCATTGCTTCAATATTTCCTTATCACTTTAATATACTCTAATTTATCAATTTATTTTTAATTGATTATACTTAGAAATGATTTTAAATGCATCATTATTGTTTTTAAAAAGAAATGAAAAAAAAATATATAATAAATAACAGACTGAAATAAATTTAATTTCACTAATAATTTTATAAAATATTTTTGCAAAAAATATTTTAATATAATTTTGTTGGTAATGAATGCAATATGATATGCAAAAAAGATAAATAATATCAGTGAAACTATCAGTAAACAACAAAATTTTCTCTCATAACTATCACTATTCAATTATTTTAATTCTTTTGCTAATGTTATGATAACAATTATCAATAATCATTGATAATCAGCAATTTTACCTGTCATACAGCTATTAAAATTAATCCAAATAGTATTTCTTTTTTTAAGATAAAAGAAGCATGAAAATTCCATTCTTTCTTTTCCTAGTATTTTTGAAAATTTTAAAAATTTCAAAAGATTAGGAAAAAAAAATATACTTTTCAATACATTTTAAAATATTGGAAAGGAAAAAGATTAATTACAGGAAGAATTTTAATGATAATTTAGAGAGATTATTAATCACTTACAATAGCATTCTAATGATATAAACAAGAATATGCATCGTTTTAAATTTCTTCTTTCTTTTTTTTTTTTTTTAAATTTCAATTTGAAAAATGACAATATGAACTTTGACACTATTAAAATGTGAAAACAACTGCTTTGTTAGCGCAACTGTTTTCTCAGCTTTCTTTCCACTTAAATGACAAATTTAGTTTTTTTCTTTTAGAAGGAAAAAAAAAAAGATTAGCTCAAATTGACATTCCTTTTGGTGAAAGTTAAATTGTAAAATTACTTACAGTTTCAAATTAAAAAAAAAAAAGGAGAGAGGAAAATATATATATTCCAAGTAGAAAAAATTAATATTATTGAAATAAATTATTTAATATTAATAAAAATTTGCTTTATTTATTAAAACTGATAATAATAATTATTATTTATGCATAATATTTATTATATCATTTAGCAATTTTGATTAAAAATAGAAAATTATTTTATTTTTTTCCTCAATTTAATTTCAATTAATGACTAAGAGAAAAAATTTTTTTTCTTTTATTGTCGCATATAATACAAACTTCTGTGAAAGTGCGAAAGAAAATTTTTTTTCTACTTCAAATTTAATATGTTTAAAAGTTGTTATATATAGTAATGATAATGATAATGATAATGATAATAATAATAATAATAATAATAATAATAATAATAATAATAATAATAATAATAATAAACAACCATTTTATCATTAGCCATTAATTATTCATTTTGATCATTTTCAACTATTATATTTTAGCGCAATGTTAGCGCAACTGTTTTCTCAGCTTTTAAAATTTTAACCAATTAAAAGGATAAAACTAATTTCATTACTGTCAGTGATATGTTGGGGAACAATTTTGGAATAAATTTATTTCTCACTTAATGATCACTAATATTGCAAATATTTAATATAAACATAATAAAAAGTATATTTAGTAAATATGCTAAGAATAATAAAAAGCATTTGATTAAAATTTAAATTATACAATTAATTTTTAAATTGCTGTAAATGCTACTAGTATTAAAATATATTTGATTTGATATTATGGTAGTAGTAGCATTTACTTTTTATTTATTATAATAGTTTTATCATTTATTTATTAACTAACCATATGAAATTAAGAGTATATTCATGTTTAGCTAACAAAATGACACATTAATTTATTTCTGTCACCAAAAAAAAAAAGAAGGAAAGATGCAATTATTGAATAAAAAGATAAACTTTTAATATCGAGTGAATGAGAAAAAATTTTTATCAAATTTCAAAAGGCAAAAAAAGAAAGCACAAAATTCCATAAAACAGCAACGATAATAAATAAAATATTTGTGATAATAAAGATTTCAATTTGTGCATTTAAAAAAAATTTAAAAAAGTTAAGGAAATTTGTTTATTTAAATATTTAATTTTGATTTTCACAAAATTTCAAATTTATATTTGCAAAAAAAGAAAAAAGAGAAAAGAGAAAAAGAAATAGCAAAATATTAATAATAATGTAAGGAACAAAGTAAATATTTGTATTTTTGCAATTTTATCATTTAAAATTTTTGCAAAACAACAAAAAGAAAAAGAAAAGAAAAACAAGAAAAGAGAAAAAGAAACTAATTAATTGGAGTTGGAGTGTATTAGAGGATGATGCTATATAATTTAAATTTAAATTAAATTAAGTTTAAAAAAAGGAAAAGATTTTTTTTTTTTTTTAAGATGTGGTTGATTTTGAATGTGCCAACATTTTAAGATTTTCTTTTGGCTCTTCCGTATTTCCGATTAAATCTTCCAGTTTAGCAATTTTCCGTAATGCTTTTTTTAATGATTTCTTTAATGCATCATTTTGTTCCTCACAGGTAATTATTCGCCTTTCTAAGATAGCAACAATAATAAAATGTAAATCAACGGTATTTAATTCACCCAGCGATACCGCTTTCATCGGTTTTGTCTTTTCCGGATTGTCAATATTATTTATCAGACGTTGTAATTGTGAATTACCATTACGTGATATCTATAAAATGGATTATTTATACGTTTAAAAAAAATATTAATCATTGAAATAATTTCATTAATTTCATTCTTTTTAAATAAATAATAAATTCAATTATTAAATACAAAATTAAATTTGTATTTGTAAATCAAATGCAAATATTACTTTTAAATCATTTAGCTTGTGTTTTCTTTTTTTTTTCCTTTTTTCATTTTCAAATATTTAAAAATTTATTATGGAAGTAAAAAGATATAAATGTAAATATTTCAATTTGCATTTCAATTTCTCGAACTCAAATTCAAAAAAAAAGGAAAAAAAAGGACAAAGAGATATCATTTTTTCAAACTTATTAAAAATTTAAATTAATTAAAAAATTTCACAATTTTTTTTTTGTATTTGTTGTT